GAGCAGGCAAAAACCAGAATCAAATAGCAAGGAAGGTTTTTGCGATCCTATAATGGGAAATCACAGAGCTTTTCATGGACCCAAATTGTTCCAATAAACTGGTGTAGTTTAAACACACCTCTTATTCTTCCAAAGCCAATTCCAGTCTGTGTTGGTAGGGAGAGACTAGATCTTAGATCAGACTTGGACATTTTACAGCCCACAGGTCATGTCTAACCCTTTGCCTATCCCTTTAGCCTATCCCTTTATAACCTGCTGGGGTGACAATGGGGAGAAGCAGTGGTGGGAAGAGGCAGCAGGGGAAAATTAATTGTCCACCTTAACTTAAATCCCTGCATTGCGGGAAGGCTCAGATTTCACTTTCTTCTGTTTAAAATTTACCTGAAGTTGTTGGGTATGATCATTTGTTATCACAAGATTAAGTATTATTAGTATTTTGATTATACTTGATTGGGCATTTTGGCCCCTCACTGTTCAAGTGATGTTATAAAGGCTTTTCCCCCCAGACACTCTTGGAGTCTAGATGAGGAATGTTTGATATTTCAACTCAATATAGCAAGGTTGGGTAGCTGTGGGTTTTAAGGGCTTCCAGATCTGTAACTCTAGATGGAGTACCATCTCATAGACTCACAATTTCTTCTCAAGGTTCAGGTTGCAATCATGGTCAAGAAAGCCGTTGCATAAATCCATCTTGTGCTTCACTTGTTCAAGTTTCTATCTAGATCAGGAGGCTTTGCCCCTGCCTTTGTCACCTCACAGTTAGACAGCTGCAATGCAACTAGAATGCAGAATGCAGCTATATGTATTCTTCTAGGTCAGGGGTTCTCAACCTTGGCAACTTTAAGACTTGTGGACTTCAACTCCCAGAATTCCTCAGCCAGCAAAGCAAAGCTGGCTGAGGAATTCTGGGAGTTGAAGTCCACAAGTCTTAAAGTTGCCAAGGTTGAGAACCCCTGTTTTAGGTGCATCTTGGTGCTCTTGTATAACACCACTGCTTTATGAGTCACACTGTTTTCTAGTAGATTTCTTAGTGCAGTTGAAGGTGCTCATTAACTAAAAGCCTTTCCCAGCACAGGGTCAAGTTATGTCAGGCCCAAGAACCAAGAATCACATATGGAGTTTCTCATGAATAATTTTTTAATTGCTTACCTAGGGACCGAATTTTGCCAGACTATAGCCACTGTCTGTATAACTACAGATATACTCTGTGAACTGCTAGGGAGGGACTATCTTAGAACTCTTCCTGACTTCCAGACTTTCCAAGCTCTGCTCCTCTTTACCCTCTGGGAAGCAGACTCTCCCTCCTGGGAATCCAAACTACATTCCATCACAGGTTACTTGCTAATTCTAATAAAGTGCTAATACTAATCAGTTTTGCGCACTCCTCAGATCTGGCAGTGTAGGCTTTCTCCAGGTTCCTTCTGTAAATACTGTTGTTTGATTCGACCCAGAAGGTGTGCCTTCTCTATCATGACATTTGCTCTATAGCAGTGGTTCTCAACCTTTTTAATGCCGCGACCCCCAACTGGTCGTAAGTTGAGGACTACTCAACCGGTCGTAAGTTGAGGACTACTCAACCGGTCGTAAGTCAAGGACTACTCAACTGGTGCAGCACCGTTTGCAGAATGGGACTTTTGGGGGGCTCAGCAGGGCAGAGACAGCCTGGACAATTCCTATTGGCTTTTGAAAGCCAATAGAATTAGACTCTATTCAAGAGAGTCTATTCTATGGGCTTTCGAAAGCCAATAGAATAAAAGGGAGTAGCACAGCTAAGGAAAAGGGGGGGAAATGGCAGACTGCGTTGTTTGGTGACCCCCGTGAAATGGTCGTTCGACCCCAAATGGGGTCCGGATTGAGAACCACTGCTCTATAGAGTAGCCTCCCCTCAAAATTTGAGAAGCTCCAACCCAAACAGATTTCCAACATTGGTGCCAGGAGCACACTATGTATGTTTTACAGTGCATTATAAACAAGCTTTTCTTGGAGCTTCGGTATATTGTATTGTATCTTTTTTCATTTAATCTGCTGTATTTTATGTAATGCCACTCGGTTGAGATGGACAGCCCTCTATGATAGATACTTAATAGATGATTATGATAGATAGATAGATAGATAGATAGATAGATAGATAGATAGATAGATAGATAGATAGATAGATAGATAGATAGATACAGACAGACAGACAGACAGACAGACAGAGACATATGATGGATGGACATTCAACAGATTGAGTAGGATTTTCATATACCTGCTGAATATGTTTCAAGCATTATGAGTGCAATATTTTCTAGGGAGTAATGTTATAAAACAAGAAAAATGAAAAAAAAAAGGAATAGAAATCTCCAAATGTTTTAAATATAAAAAGTTACAGGGCTCCAATATTTGAAAATAATATTCTTCAGTATATTTAAATGGACATTTAATAAATCCATTATCACCTCTATCAGTGGCTTGCTTTTTAGAAACTTCTGAACAAGAATTTTAATTTGAAAATTTATTGGACTAATAAAACTGCTATTTCAGATTTTATCTCACCTGTTCATTCTTTGGGAAACTGGCAGAAAGAGAGAATTGGCATTGTAAACATGTAATTCAGAACAGTAAAAGTATCACTGGCATCATCATCTCTGTTATTCACAAAGAAAGTGAAAAACACCCAAAGTTGTCATGGAAGACAAATCTCCTCCATACATGAAGCTGAAGTGCATATGAAGCAGAACAGGCAAACTGAAGCTTCTTGATGATCCTGGAAGCAAAGGAGAAATAATAACAAAAACAGGTTGTTGTCTTTTGTAGTTTGAAGAGAGTCACTATATGAGTACAACAAAATACATTGTTTATATTAGAAATACTAGAATCAGTAAAATGGGTGGGCTTGGAGTTTATTTAAACAGCAGAATTTTTCCCCTCCTGTTGTTATCAGATTGATATTCCTGCAGGAAATGTCATGTTTACACTGGTTTTGAAAGTCCTCTGTATCATTTCCAGAAAGTATATGAGATGTAATTTTGTGGGCTTTGGGGTTCTTCTGCATTTCTTTGCTGAGAAGTCTAGGGATCACTGTAGTAGTGTAGATCAGTAAAAGGTACTGAGTCGCATCTATCTCCACATTATGCGGCTCCTTATTTAATGGCCATTTTACTCACAATATTGTGAATATGCACTTTGAGAAGCTGATGTAATATTAAAAATCAAATAGCCTCGTAGCATATGGCTTTTCCATAATATATCTTATGGGATATGTCTGCATTTGTATATATCATACGTTGTTGCATTCAGTTCTACATGAATAGACTTTACAAAGAACAATTCCCAGCTTCCATCTTCTGTACTGCAGCCTTCATACAGTTGGAGGATTTGAAGAATGGTCTGCATTGTGTGGCTTACAGTGTTTGCATTATGATTGACAAGAAGAAATCATGGACTTCTTTGTTGGAGGATATAATAGGATGGAGTTTTGGTAGTGTTGAATAATAGCATGCTGAAATGGAAGCTATAATACAATGAGCCACAGGTAGTTTCTGGCCGTCATTTTAGCTGGAACCATTTGAAGATTTTCATCCAAAGAACTACCTGTGTTATAAAGAATCAGGTTAAGAGTCATCATCAGGTAAGATATATCAGGAGAAGGAGAAGGGTAAGAATCAGGATCAGACAAGACTGCAAGTTCATTCAAAAATAGCTTTATGCTAGATCAACTTAGGGTCTCATCTGCCCCAGAAATGTCTAGGCTTCTATGGGTCTTCCATACCTATGGGTCTCCCTTACCATTTAGCTCTTTTTGAAGGATGAGGTTCCACCTATTTTGGATTTTACTTCCCTGCTTTGGAGAATAGGTTGACCTCTTCTTCCTTATGGCAGCCCCTCAAATATTGGAATGCTGCTATCATGTCACCCCTAGTCCTTCTTTTCGTTAAACTAGACATACCCAATTTCTGTAACCATTCTTCAGATACTTTGGCCTTCAGTTCCCCAGTTATCCTTGATGCTCTTCTCTGCACTCTTTCTAGAGATTGAACATCTCAGTGATCTCACTTTCATAATCCATTTGACTGCTCATTCAGTTACAGATGAGAGTCAACTGTTTTAAACCCCTTTTCTGGAACAACTACCATCAGGCCACCAGAGTTACTTGATCTCTGAATGTTCATTCTTCCCAATTCTTTTCTCTAACCCCCCATGTTCCCTACATGGTCAACTCCACATGAGCCAAATAAATAGACTTTGGGAGCTGTTCCTTCCAAGTTCCCATAATTAGTTTTGGCTGCACAGTGGAGCAACATAATGCAATTTTCCTTATCAAAAGTCACTCTGTACATTACTGAATTGGCTTATATGCCTTTGCACAGCAGACAATTACATCTACAGCTGTGAAAGTGTTTTTTTTTCCACTTCAAAAAAAGAGATGCAGGAAAAAACCCTTTAACTTGTGTTATTTCTACGAACTAGACAATGTCAGTATCATTAGTTCTATTCTGGAGTCTCTCTCTATTTATAGTCAGTATTTTCTCAGGATCTTCATTCCTCTTGAATCTTCATTCAGTCTCCTGGGCCAAGAGATAGAATGGGAATTTTGAGAAAATGGACACTTTAACAAACTGTGGCTGCTAGCCACAAACATTTCTCAGCAGGCAAACTGGTGAGATGGTTACTTATCAAACCTTTCAAAACTGTGCCTTTCCAAATGTTCCTTATGCCATCTATTCCCCTCCCTTTTTTTTTCTGGGTGAATAGGCATTCCATCACTCAACTCCCAAAGTCATTCCTGTATATCTGTTATCTATCTGTAATCTCCTTCTTTCCTTCCTTCCTTCCTTCCTTCCTCTTTCCTTCCTTCCTTCCTTCCTTCCTTCCTTCCTTCCTTCCTTCCTTCCTTCCTCCCTCATTCCTCCTTCCTTCCTTCCTTTCTTTCTCTTTCTCTCCCCTATCCTTTGGGATTCTATATAGAGAATAGAAACATTTTTGAATTTCAATGTAAGCCCTGAGCTTACTTATGCTAGAACTATGGTGGTGGTAGTTGTGGTGGTGGAGGTAAAGGTGGTGATGGTGATGGTGACGATGATGACGGTGGTGGTGGTGGTGGTGATGGTGGTGGTGGTGGTGATTGAAGAGTATGAAAGGGATATTGCTGGAAATATTGGCATCTACAGGAACCATGGTAGAGATCTATAAACAATAGGAGAAATGTATTTGCATTTTTAAGAATTTCAAGGTTTTTATTATGCTATATAAAGCCCAGTAGAGCCAACAACTTGAATATCAGATGCGATATTACCGGTATCCCAAAGATGCTTTTTCACGAGGCAACTGGACTTCCTTGTTTTTCTTTGAAGATGTTTCGCTTCTTATCCAAGAAGCTTCTTCAGCTCTGACTGGATGGTGGGGAATGAAAGGATTTATGCTCCTTGGAGATAGCTGTTCATTTGCATTCTTTTAATGAGTCATTAATGCTACCTGGAGGCTTATCTGTGTCTTCAGGGTCACCTGAGTAGTACAAATGGGTGTGGAGCCTTCTTGGAACTGTTTAAAGGACTGTGTTGTAGATTGGAAATAGATGATGTCAGATCCCTCCCCCTCTGTTGAGAGAGGGCTGTTCAGTTTTGACAAAGATGGCCTCTTTGACCCCTCTTTCAAACCAGTGGTCCTCTCTGTCCAAAATGTGGACTTTGCTGTCTTTGAAAGAGTGGCCTTTGTCTTTTAAATACAATGGACTGCTAACTCTTGTCCTGATGGGTTTGTTCTCCTATGTTATTACTGGTATATCCTCTCAGTCTTCAAGGCTGGTAGGATGCCCTCTTGAAAGTAGCCAACAGATATATATTCACTATTTAGTAACCCGTAAGAATGTTTTTGATACAGGCCTCTGAATGATGAAATTCCCTCTGATCGAGTTATGGCTAGCATGCCTCCAGTGCCAGCTGAGAATTTATTTATTCACCCAGCATTTTAATTGAATCTACACTGCTGTGTCACTTATATTCTAATTGTCCTGGTTTTGATGTTTTAATGATGAGTTGTAATTACATGACTTTAAACTATTGTGATTTCATGGATTTAGATCCTATTTTGGCACCTCACTTTGGGATTAGGGTTTAATGAAAAGCAAATAATAAATTTTATAAATAAAAATGCATACATAAATTTGTCCTGACACACAGAATTTTGTATTCCCCTAATGCATGCATAGTTATACTCTTGCTTTTTTTAAATAGAATCAGAGAACTGAATCACAAAGTTTAAGGAATTGCAGAAGGGAAAAAGATAATTATATTCTGGTTCTCATATTAGTTTAGCAAGTGAACAAATGAAAATCCTAACCCTCTCCCTGGATTTTATAAAAGAATAGAATAATTATGATCATATTCTTTCTCTCTCTCTTTTCTTTAGCAGATTACCTCAAAGGATTTGGTTTTGAGGTAACACGTCATTCTTCTTTCAACAAATTGCACCCTTTAAGGACTATTTTTCTGTAATTGGATTCATCTCAAAGGTACTTGTCCACACAGTTGAAAACAACAAGCAGGTAAGCTTTACACCGTAGGCTTTTCTGGGGTGGTGCTGGAGAAGTTACTTGTTTGTAAAGCATTTAATCTGAGATAAACAGGGTTTCTTGCAAGAAAATATTTCCAAGATGTGATTCTTCCCATGAGTCTTAAAAAGTTGTGTGAGATCTTAGATGAGCAGGAAGATAAGGCATTTTTGAGTTCATAGGTATGCTTAACACACACACATCCTTTTTACTTTCTTCATTTATTCATTATGAGGTCTTTGGTGCTCTCTGAGCTTGTTTGTTTTCTTGCAGATGTTTCATTACCCAAACTAGGTAACATCATCAGAGCTAGTAAGGAGTGCAGTTTGCTGTCAGTTTATATTCTAGTAGCTTGTTCTGTCAATGTTGGTGGGGTGGTCTTAGAGCAGGGGTGTCAAACTCAATTTCATAGAGGGACACATCAGCACTGTGGTTGCCCTCGGGGGGGGATGTGTGGGTGTGGCCAGGATGGGCATGGCCTACTGGATAGGCGTGGCTGGGATAGGCGTGGCCAGCTCTGGCGTCCTGGGTGAAGTCAGCCTGCGGGACAAGACAGCCAGCAGGGACACCAGACTCCACTTGCATGCGCACCCAGGGGCAGGGTGGGGCTGCCCGTGGATTTAAGACTGAGCGTGTTCTGGCTTTGATGGATGCAACCAGGTTGTAGATCAGTGCCCGGTCAGCCTGGGCTGGGCCAAGGTGCAGTGGGCCAGTCCCTTGCTGTTTCCAGAGCAGGTCCCTGGGCCGGACAGAACCACATATCAGGCCGGATCTAGTCTGCAGGCCTTGTGTTTGACATGTATGTCTTAGAAATTCTTCAGTTGGGCTGTTTACTCTTGGTTCTTTGGCAGTTTCTTGACTGGGGTATTGTTTATTTGATTATTGGTCTGAAGTTAACCTTGAAGCTAATCTATGCTGATCTGGGTGCTGATTGCTGGTGAGACAATCAAGAGACAATCAACCAGCCCAAAGAGGAACAAAAAGACCTAAGCATCTCTCCACTAGTAATTAGCACCCAGATCAGCATAGATTAACTCCAAGGTTAACTTCAGACCAACAATCAAGAAACTGCCAAAGAGCCAACAGTAAACAGCCCAACCAAAGAATCTTTAAGACCTCCCCCACCAACACTGACAGGCAAGCCACCAGAATATACACTGACAGCAAACAGCACTCCTTACTAGCATTGATGATCTTACCTAGTTTTGGTAATGAATGTCTGCAAGAAAACTAGGAAGCTCAAAGAGCACCCAAGGACCCCTCATTTCAACCCCGAGCTACAAATATTCTCCTTTATTTATTATTTATTAAATGAATAACAGTAAACAAGTGACTCCGGTAGTTGGACAGCGTATACATTTTATAAATAAATGAATGAAATAAATATGTGGTGGTCATGATTTGCGAATGACCAACGCATTTTCACTACATGCCAGTTCAACTAAACAATTCTCCCCCGGCAATGATTTTCACAGTGTGATGATATAGTGCATGTTTTAAAATTGTCACCTTTCCCCCCTGAGATAGCTACTTGGACTTTAAGTGTTTGCTATTTAATTTTATATGAAGATGGTGTCAGAAGCTGCTTTATTGCTGTAGATGGGTTGCATTTAATTAATCGGGGAAAGGAAAGTTAGAGCTATGATAAATGAAGAATAACATCGTGTGCATCTGCTACCTGATAAGTACAAAAAAAAACAACTGTCTTATATTTGTTTATTATCCAAAGACACAGAATCATAAATGTATAGATTTATCCTGTTGGAAATGGCTATTCGATGGATGTTTAATGTATAAATCCAGTATGAAACAGCTGCAAATAATCTTACTGTTTCTAGATCATTGTTTTTTTACTTTCAAGCTGCTCTTACTTTAGGAAGTTGTTTTTAGCATTCAGTTAAAATTTGCTTTCCTTTTACACTAAACCATTATACAGTATTCTATTTTAATGGCATGTTAGGAAAAAAGTTATGGCATTCACTGTGACATTCCTTCCATTATTTGAAAAGTGCTTTTACAATCTGCTCAGTCATCCTTTCTCATGATGATTTTAATGATTTTCATCATTTTAACCTTGGATTTTGACAATTAGACTTATTTATGATGTTAGAAGTACTATTAGTAATGGTTTCTTCTAGTTCAAAGGGTCATTAATCTACTTACATCAAAGGAAGTCCAACGTTTTTCTGTAGCTTTCCCCCTTTTTTGTTTGCACTCCTGAATTTTGCTTTTCCCCTGTCCCTCTGTTTTTCCTTTTTTTTTTTTTTTTGCATTTTATACTTTTTGAAATCTAATAATTTTTTGTGGGAAAATCATTTTCTTCAGACTATCTTTTTGGTGGGCAAAATCCTTACTTGTCTTTGTTTTTCTGTGACTCTGTTCCAGTTCATTCGACTCTTTCTTAAAGTATGCCACAGACATACACAAAATTATTATAATACTTCCAGTGATTTGGAAACTCATTATCTCTTGATGAATTCTGAAACTGCATTTCCCTTGGTCTTTTCTACAACCATACAACCATGTCACACCAATTATTTAAAATGGTATAAATAGTTCCATCTATCTGCCACCACCTTAATTTTTCCCCCTACCTTTTAAAATGCTTTATATTCTTAAGACTGACTAGAAATAAGAATTGTTTTTAGAAGCAGCAAATAATAAAAGACCATTTTGTCTGTGTTCAAGAAAGATTAGAAATGTGTTTCTTGCATCCCAAATATTTTCTCTCTGAGTGTTTCAATGTGAATCATATTGACTGATGACAAATTCTAATAGAAAGGTGCATAGACTAATCCCATCTCATTGTTTCATAGTTTTAATTTCCTACAATTGTTGTAATCTGGAGAATCTCTAGCTGTATCACTTCTAGTGCTCCTTCCAATTAGAACAGAGGTCCCCAACCTTTTGGGCACCAGGGACTGGTTCCGTGGAGAGAGGTTTTTCCATGAACCGGAGGGTGCATGGTTTTGTGTGCTGCCTTCATCCCACGGATGGGGCTTTGCTTGTTTGTGCGGACCAGTTGCTGGCATGTCACAGGACCCCTGAATTAGAAACGATGACCAAGACATCTAGGACAGAATTACCACAATCTGAAAGAGAAAGTTCTCCATCCATCCCCGTCTTATTCTGTCAGAAAGTGAACTGGTATACCCTTGATTCCACCAACAAAGTTTATGCTACTTGATTTAAGTATCTTCTTAATTGTTTAATTATTGTGCTAAATGCAAACGTGCAAACTGCCATGGATAGATCAGTCCTTGAAGTTGACCTAGTTGTAAATGAAAGCAATATTGGAAGATTTCTGATGTAGATAAGGATTCCCATAGGGATCCTATTGAGCATTTGGCCGGTGATCCTCTTCTGCTACTGCAAACATTTACACTGCAGGCACAGATATTTATATTGCCACCTGTCTGCTTTAATGGTAGCCAGGTATAAAATGCAAATCAGATCACTAAATGTATCCAGCTTTCATGTTCCCCTCCCCGGAACCACTAAATATCATCAATATTTTTTTAAAAAATTAGGATCTGTTCTGTGTTAGCAGGATGATAATAGCTTTCCTTCGGATGAGATTCCTAACAAAAAAAAATCCCACTAAGTGTCTCAATTCAGACGCAACTTCTGATGCTCCCTCCTC